GCCCACCAGGAACCCCGGCCCCCTGCCCCCCCCGAAGGGGGGGGGGGGCGGTTTTGGGTGCAACCCGGGGGCAGGCAGAGGCACCCTGCTCGCAAAGCGCTGGCGCAGCCGGTTCTGCCGACTCAGCAGCTGCGGGGCCGGCTTTCCGATGGGAAACCTGCATGGAGGAGCGGGGGAAAAAACAACACTGGCAGCCCGGGGATTGTCAGGGGGAATTTGCTGAGCTGCTGTCTCCAAACACAAGGGCTGCCCGCAGCACCCACCCGGCATGGCCCCTTCCCTGCCTCCCCCCGGCTGCAGAGCCCCTTCCCGGGGTCGGGGACACTGCGGGGACATCGCTAGCTGAGGCGATGGTGAAGCGCTGGGTGAAGCCATGGGACAGGCAGGCTCAACCCTTGGCGTGCCTCAGTTTCCCCTCGCATCCGAGGGGCCTGGGCGCTGGCAGGGGTGACTCACGTGCATCTCGTTCATGTTCATGACGGTGGGAGAGGGCCGGAATGTGCCCAGGCGGTACCGGATCCCGTCCTCCAGTGTCATGCCCCAGAACTGGCTGTAGTTGGCGGCTCTCCAGCTGTGCAGCAGGAGGGGACACAGGTCAGGGGTGCCCCAAAAAGCACCAAGGGGCGAAGCATCCCTTCCCCATCCTCCCGCTGCCCAGTCCTTACCTGTAATTGCCCCTGTTGACGGCGTCAATCAGCTCCCCGTCCATCAGGCAGGCGTGGTCCTCGCACTGCCACTGCCCGCTGGCGCCGCAGGTGCTGCGAGGGGGATGGCATCGGAGGGGACAGTCAGCCGGGGAGGGACGGTGTCCCTGGGGTGACCGGGGGGAACCCCGGGCGGGTGCTGCCCACCCCCAGCCAGGGACCCGCTGCCGTCATGGGCAGCCAGCACGGGGCTGGGGCTAATTCTTCACTGGAGTCTGGGGGTCGCACCACGACTCAGCGCCTCGGGATGGGGTGAAGCTGGGCCAAGAGCTGGCGGGCAGCCCTCTGCACGGCCCTGGGGGCTTTCCCCCCCACCCCGGTCCCCGCAGGAGCCCGGAGGGCAGACAGAGCATGGGACAAAAAATCAGCTGAAAAGCAGCCAGGCCTGCAGACATCAGAGCGGGGCTTGGACGCCAGCCCAGGAGGGGATTCGGGGCTGGCTGTCCCTCCCTGGGGCAAGCCACTCTGGCCAGGTTAGCTGGGAGCCCTGCGGCACCCACAGGGAGACCCAGGGCAGGGGGTGCCTGGGGGTGATGTGCCGGGTCCAGGTCCCCCCGGGGAGGCCTGGACTGTGCTCCCCCCGCATGGCGAGCAATGCTTGGCATGCTCCCTCCTGCCCGCCGGCCAAGCTTCCAGCACTCTCTTCCCTTTTAAGGAGCCGTGTGAGGCCGGAGCCGTGTCCCGCCAGCCCGGTACCCATCCCACCGGTGGCACCTGCACCCCCAGCACTCGCTGCATCCCGGTTCCCGAGCACTCCCAGTGCTGCGCTGGTGACCCCGCATCTGGCTGTTAACTCCTCGGGGACTCCCGTGGCAGCACCCTGGGGTGCAGTCAGCTGGGTGCCCACAGCAACCCCCTCTGCTTCACCCAGGCATTGCATTTGCCCCCTGCCAACCCCCCCCAGACCCCGCGGGAGCCGGGCAGGGACAAGGTCTGGAGTGAAGCGCTCCAGGAATTGCTGCTCTCCTGGTGCCAAGTGCGGGGGAAGAGGGTTTCGGCAGAAAAACCTCAGCCCCCGGGGGCCAGCGCTGTTGAGGAAGGGATGCTTTCCCAGCAGCAGGGACCGGTCATCTAACTGCATGGCTCAGGGACCTTGACCTTCCCCCGGGGCTCGGGGACATCCTCCAGCCCCGCATGCCTCTGCGCCACGGTCCCGGAGAAACGCCAGGCAGCACTGGGGCTTCAGGGAGGGGTCGGGCTGGCTTTTCACCTCCAGCTCCAGCGCACACGCCTGCACACACATGCACACACACGTGCTCATGCCCTTACACACACCCCAGATGGAGCCTTTGATTTCCCTTATCTGCCGTATCGTTGCGATCCAGCCAGCCCTGCTGTGTTTGCTCCTTCTCTACAGGCAGATCTGCGTCCGCAGGTTCCCCTATCCCCCACCTCCGGGATGCCATTAATACCACCGCAGCCGTTTCCAGATAAACCCCACGCTGCTTGCTAATGCAAACAGCCAGCTCCTGGCGTGCAGCGCAGACGGGCTGCTTGCACCCAAGCAGGCGGCGGGGCCGGACTCTGGCCGCCTGGCATGGAGCCGTGGCGGCTGTCAGCTGCAGGCGCGTTCCGTCAGGCTTGGGCAAGCTGGGCTTGGACCAGCGCGGCCAGAAAAACCCCGGCAGCGCCAGGCCCGCATCGGCTAACCCGGCGGAGCGAGCGGCTCCCACAAAGGCATGTGCTGAAACTTGGGAGCGGCTCAAGGCCCCGGGCTCTCTGCTCCGAATATGCCAGAGCAAAGGCATTTGGCACCCGGCCCCCGCCACCCAGCTCGGGCCCTGTGCTCCCGCTCCCGCCGAGCTGGCTGCAGGCAGCCCTGGCGCTCGCGGGCCTCCCGACGCCCTGGGCACGTAGCATGCCGGCGCCGCACCAGCAGTGCCCACACGGCACGGGGAGCGCGGAGGCACTCACCACAGGTTGCAGTTCTCCCGGTACGTGGCTCCGGTGGGGTAGCTGCGGCCGGCACGGGCACAGCCTGGATGGGAGAGGGGAGAGCCCTGGTGAGCACCCAGCTGCATCGGGGGTCCCTCCAGCACCCCCATGGCTCCAGGGGGTAAATACCAAGGGGAAAATAAATGTGGTCCTTAAAGCCAGGCGGGTGCCTGGCTGCAGCTCGGCACCTCCAGACCTGCGTGCCCGTCCAGCCAGGGCACGATGGGGACCAGCTTGTGCCCCACAGCGCAGGGTGGGAGCAGGGCTGGCTCAGCGCCGGGAGGGTTAACTGTGGGGCTGCCGAGCAGAGCCGGCCTTGCACGCACAGGCTGGTGGGACTGGGATAAAGGGGCCAGTTGTACCCGGGAGCTGGCTCCGCTCTGCAGGGACTTCTTAGAGAGCCTTGTGCTGCGCGGCGGGGGCTGCCCGTGCCCCCCGCTTGCCCCGGCCGCCCTGCCCGCTCCAGCTGCCAGGCGGGTTAAGTCAGGGCCAGCATCTGCCTGCCCCAGACATGACCGGGAAAGCCGGGATGGAGCACCATCCACCCCTGCTCTGCCCCACAGGTACGTGCCGCCGGAGCTGCCCCCCTGCCCTCCTGCCCCCACAGCCCTGCCCGTGGGGAGGCACAGGCGACGGGCTGCGGGGCCACGTGCTGCTCCCAGCCCTGGTTTTGGGAGCCCGGCCCCAACCCAGCCACTTTGCACAAGTTTCCACAACTCCAAGGGGTCCGGAGCGGCTCTGCAGCGTGGGCAGGGCTGTGGGGTGTCACATCCACCTGCATCCATTATCCAGAGGGGCACCAGCGGCATCACACAGCACATTGGGCACCTCAGGGCCGGCCCCTGGCACCCACGGACCCCTGCCCGGCTGGGCTGGGGGCTGCCTCACCTGGGGCTTTGGGGAAGGGGGCCGGGATGCCCAGGCAGTACTCCCAGAAGTCAGGGCAGCAGTCGGAGATGGTGCGGTTGCAGAAGAGGTCGCAGTAGCAGAGGGTGTCGTGGTAGGGCACGGTGCAGCCATCGTCGCGGCCGTGGCAGCAGACGTCCCCTCGCTGGCAGTAGGACCCGCCAGCATCGTAGACCCCGTGCTCGTACAAGCCGGGGGCTAGCTCCCGGCGGGTGCGCACCCGGGAAGCCAGGGCCGCCCCGGCCAGTGGCCAGAGGCAGAGCAGGGCCCGCAGCAGGCGCATGTTGTCAGCAATGTCCCCAGCCCTGCAGCCGCTGCAGAGGGAGGGCAGTGAGCGGGCGGGGGGCAGCCCGGGGCCGGGGGTCCTGCAGGCCCAGGGCAGCCCTGCTCCCTACGCCAGCCCCATCCCGCTGGGTCGCCCACCCCGGCCAGCACCCAGCTTGCCACCCGGCGAGCCCTGAGCCCTATCCCAGGGCACCTCGCCACCTCCACGCCCTCGCCCGGGACGCTCAAAATCTTCAAGTTTCTTAACTCCCCTTGTGACC